CGTCGATTTGTCGCAATTTCTTTTTCTTCATGGCGGCGACAGCGATGAGAATTCGGAGTGAGGTGTGGCGACTGACCGGAGCGAAGGTTTCGGTGTAATCTCTTCCGTGCTCCTGGTCGAAGCCACGTACGACCCAGCGGGCTTTGAATTTGTCGATGGTGCCATCAGCTTTCGTCTTCACACGGAAGACCCATTTCCCGGTAAGAATGTTTTTATTTTGAGTTACGCCGATGGGAACAATTTTCCAGGTGTTGCGCTCCTCCAGTGCCTTCAGCTCTTTGTCCATAGCTTCACGCCATTTCTCCCTGTGTTCCCCCCCTAGAGCCTGCTGAACCGTCGCAGGCTCCTTAGGAATGCCGGCGCCATGGACTGCGGTGACGAGACCAAGGATTTGCAGCCCAGTCTGTGAGTATCGAGGGAGTTCTGGATCCTCGGGATAAGCTTCTTCGTCTCCCGTTTCTGGGTCGGGCATGAAATTTGGCCCTACCCTTTCTGCTTCGTTGGTGTTGACTGTCACAGGTGTTACGTAACCATCGTCGGCGAAACGGTAGAAGATTTCGGCGTTGTTACTGTCGCGAGGATTATCCTCATCCATGGGCACGTCGACGGAGCAGTATGGGAGAGGTCCGGCTTCTTCCGAGGCGTTGTCGACGTTCTGTTCATCCCAGTCTGCTTCGTCCGCTGCTGACGCGAAGGCTCGGTCACCACGAAAACCACTGGTGAGGTCCCGATTCTCGTGCAAGTTGGCGAGGTACGTCTGAAGGGTGAGTCTTTCGTAGAAGATCACGTCACGTGCTGCTACTGTTTCCTTTGTGTGGACGTCGAAGATTCTCCATGCGTTGTAATTTTTCTCGATGCCGAGGTGTAGTCCCCACTGTGCCCGTTGCGAAAATCTTCCCGCTCGTGCTTCTGGGGGTCTGTACTGTACCATGCACCCGAAAACTCGTAACATTTTCGTGCTGCCCTGCTTCCCTGTCCACAGCAGATGCGGTGATGCGTTGTTCGGGAGTGACGACGACGACAACAAGTTGTGCAGCATGACAGCGTGGTCCATTGCTGCTGGCCACTGGTGGTTGGGTAGCCGCATGCCACGTAACAGTTTGCGCATGCTGTTCTGCAGGGTCTTGTTCAGTCGTTCTGCAACACCTTGCTGCTGATGTGCGTAGGGAAGGGAGAGGAGTTGCTTGATCCCCCTTTCCGCCAAGAAGTGCTTGAAGCGCTGAGAGGTGTACTCGCCACCTCCGTCTGACTGGAAACTTTTCAGTTGTGTTCCAGACTCTCTCTCTGCTATCGGTAGCCAGGCGGCGAATGCTGCGAGCGCCATGTCGCGGCTGGGTAGGTTGCGATGCCAGACGTATCGAGTGGCGGCGTCGATGAAGGTGATGGTGTAGTTGTAGTTGACTTGTTCTGGTTCGCGATTGTAGAGGATGTCGCTGTAGACTTTTTCGAGTGGTGCGTACGCTGGAGCGCTCGGGTTGTGATGTGAAGCAAACGGTCGATGAGGTAAGTCAGCTTCGGGACATATAAGGCAAGTCCCTCGTGCCTTCTGGAGTTCTCTGCCATCGGGTAGAAGTAGAGAGTCTTTGTCAAGGACTCCTGCTCTTATCGTGTTATTCAAAACCGTGTTGCTTGGATGTCCTGTGCGTGCGTGCCAGATCTCTTCAGAGGCGCGGTGTCCGGGTGAACGCTGATATGCGTCGGAGTTGGAGTAAAAGCTGGCAACGAGGTTGGCGCTTTGGTGGACTTCACGTTGAGTCGGATTCAGCTGTTGCGCGGGTGTTGGTGGTGCTTCGTCGACTGTGACTGGTGTCGTTGTTCCTGCTGCTGCTGATGTTGTTGCTGCTGCCGATGTTGTTGCTGCTGCCGATGTTGTTGCTGCTGCCGATGTTGTCGCTGCTGCCGATGTTGTCGCTGCTGCCGATGTTGTCGCTGCTGCCGATGTTGTCGCTGCTGCCGATGTTGTCGCTGCTTCTTGTTGAATCGTTGCTAACGCTCTTGTTCGTTCTGCTTCAGGGATAGTGTGGGAGTACCAGAAGCCTCCCGGGCTGAAGTCGGGGTCGAGATCCGGAGGGTGTGTCCAATCAGCAAAGTTCACAATGGCGTCGCTGTCTGCAGTGCCGAGGTCGGGAGCGAAGTCGAGGACGAAGACGTTGTTCTTCAGCACTGCTTTCCCGATGTAGAGACCGCCTCTCCCGTGGTAAAGCTTGAACTCCTGGGTCGTGCTGTCGGCTTCCAGATGAATTCCTTTCGCCATCAACTGGCTAACGCTCAGTAAGTTGTAGCCGAGTCCTTCAGCGATGAGTACTTTAGACATGTGCAGTATGACATTTGTTTCTCTTGACTGAAGCTGTACCACTCCTTGTCTTCGTGTGCGCAGGTCTTGGTTGTTGGCAACCGTGATGATCACTTCCCGTTGGAGTCGATGTTCGCGTTGTACGAAACGCCCGGACGAGCACATGTGTTGCCCGCAGCAACTGTCCAAGAACCAGGTGTCTTGGCCGGACGGTTCACTTTGAGCGATAGCGGCGTAAGTCGGATTTGGATGGAGTGATTCGCGACGAGGCGTCCTGTTGTCGAGCTCCTCTTCCGGTGAGTAATGGGGTGGTGACTCTGTTATGCAAGAGTAGTTTATCTTGACCATGCAGTTGACTATATGTCTTGCTCCTTGTGCAGGTTGTCCAGTTGAGGTCGTTGAAGCTTGAATCGTGGTTGTCGAGCTTGCTTGTGTCGAAGCAACTTGGGTGCTTGAAGGCCGCAGTTGTCGCTGTGGTGTTGTCTGTCGAGACGGGCAGTGCGTGCGTGGGTGTCCTGATGTCTTGCAGATGTGACAAAATGGAGGTACTAGCTTCGGCTGCTGCTGTCGATTGTTGTAGTTGTTGTGTCGTCGCTGAGTATGGAAAGCAAACTCCGGTGCTAATGTCCTTTTCTTGTGTCTTTCTTCTTGCAGGTCCATATCCTGCTGCTCGGCGTGAATTTCTGCGCAAAGTGCCGCTTCGGAGATCCTTCCGTGTGCTCGAAGAATTGCTTTGGTGGCGCGCCACTGAGGACCGAGGCCACCGATGACGACTGTTACGAAGGCGTCTTCAGAGATTGACCCTCCACATCGAAGAAGCTTGTCGCGCAATTCGCGACATCGGCTGATATACGCCAACCCTTTTTCTCCTGGTTTCATTTCAACTGTTGTCAGCTGCGCCATTAACCTGCTCTGGTTTACACTGTCTGTTGCCTGGTACAGGTTCTTCAGATGGCCGTACGCGAGTTCCGCCGAGTTGCCGAAGTTCCGGTAAGAGCGAATGTTCTGCTGCTGGGTTGGTGTGATGTTTCTCAGTAGAATAGTATACGCCATCATGGATTGATACGTATACTGCTGCTTTTCATACTGTGTCCCGTTTGCTGGATACTGCAGGGATCCGTCGAAGAAGCCGAGTATCTGCACGCCCTCCATCATCAACTCGAATTCAAAGGACCAGGTAAAGAAGTCCTTTCCGTCGAAAGGTCTTGACGTCTGTAGTTTCAGAACATGCGCGAACTGCGACTGTACTTGTAAGGCATCCATTGGTTTGTCTTGCGCAGGTGGAGGTTGAGGCAGGAAGCTGATCGACCCGCGTTCGTACGGGGCGAAGGTGGGTTGCTGCTGTTGATTCCCTCGTGCGTATGACGACCCGTCAAGGCTCATGGGTGCCGCTCCGTTGTTGCTGTTGTGTGTCTGTGCAGATCCCGACTGCTGGTGTTGCTCGTAGAAGGACATGAAGGAGAAGAATTTCTCCATCATGTTCTGGTCGAAGTCAGAAGGGTGGTTCGTAGGAGTCTCGGTTGAAGTTCCCCTTGGTCTTGCTGCCGTGCCTTCCTCTGTCTGCAGGCCAGAGGCTGGTGGTGGAGTAGGAATAGTGCCCGAGGAGCCATTAGGAGAGCTCCTTTCCTTGTTTGTTGCCATGTCTTGAAATTATTTTGAAAAGAGTTAGAGTTTTCCCCTGTCCGCTCTCATACCATGTTGGGCTGAAAAATAGCCCTTAGGATCTTTGCAGAGGAGAACTCTTGGGTAGAAACTTGTAATAGCGGAAGCGTTTAATGAGGATTGTGAACCGACCTTGCACTGGTGTGTGAGAGCAAAGTAGATTGAATTAAACAAGCAAATACAAGGATTTATATAAGAGTACAGGGAATACGAATAGATAGATAGATAATTGTATTGTTGTTGCGGTTCGATATAGTGCGACTCGGGCAACTGCTCTGTAACGAGTCAGTTGTGTGTCCTTAACTGTCGCGCTGTAATTGTCGAGTCAAATGTCAGCGACCTTTGACTTTCTCGTAACCTCCAGGCGGTTACCCTAACCTCCGAGGTTGACTCGATGCTTCGATTGGGACTGCTTCGCTTGGTGCCTTGGATTTTGATACGACAGAAGCGCACTTAGGACTTATTGTTTCCAACAGCCTTCGGGTTTTCCAACCCCGATCCTGCACCCAACCATCTCGCGACCTCGCGACCTCGGCCTAGCTAGCATTGCTATATTAGTTCTAGGCCTCGTTGTTCCCTCAGACGTTGTTATCACTTCCGCGTTATTGAATACTGCGCACTCTTCTCTTTCACAACTCATAACAACCAGGGTCCAAGAAAGCCAGTGACCTCTCTAGCTGGACTCTGTTTTTGCTGATGATTGTTACGCAATTATCAATGATGTCATATATTCTTATGCAAGAAAGAATGAAAATGCTGATGATTAACATAGAGTCAGAAAACTAGTTGATGTTCTCCTGAATTTACAGTAGGCCTAACTTGTCCGAAGAAACAAAGATCCACTATCTGATGAGTCAAACGGGCAAAAAATCTTGGGATGCCGTAATCCACCATCGCACGATTGGACAATAGTTCGCTGCATATACAACAGTCCAAATTGAATGGACCGTAAAGAGATCCAACCAATCCTGTATTCACTCCCCACACTTCATATAAAACCCTATTGTTGGTCACACATTTTCGTGAACACATGTTGTCCACCATGCTAGGTCCGCCTCAATTCTCCTTGAACCGATTCGTCCTCTGAAGCTGCATCAGGTTGGATATGCCCTCCCGCACACCCCTCCACTACAGGACGCATCATGCCGCCCTCACCCTCCTCTTCCTCCTCCTCGTCCCACTCACTCCCCTCCTCCACCACCCTACACCCCCCTCTCAACCTCTCCATATAATCCCCGTACACCCCTCCTCCGTTCCTTGTCTCTCTGTAAAGCTCCCCACCACCTGCAAATCCACCACTAGCTACACCATCACTGCCTACATAATCCCCCGATGCAGCACCCCCGCCTTCATAGTACCTTTGCTGCCCTGCTTGCATAGGCTTCCCTCCTGCGCCGTGAAGAGGCATGTCGCGTGAATCCGCGTAACCACCCGGGTGGTAACCGTCCGCTTGCTCGCCACTCATCAGGCTTTCAAGATTATGCGACCTTGTGTGCAAGTATGCGTGTTATGGGGGGGGGGGGGACGGAGTGAGGGGAGAGAGGGAAGGGGTGAGGGGAGTGAGGGGTGAATGAAGTGGAAAGGTTAAGGAGGAAGGGTTTGAAGTACACATCATCGTTGTCTGTGAACACCTTTCTTTCCATTGATTGATGAGACATTTGAACAGAAAACAGCAGTCGCCCTGCTCTCCACTTGTTGATCAGGCATTCTGGAAGCACTGAAGCAAGCACTGCAGCAGGCACACAGGGCCAGAACAGAGACTCACTCTCTCCGTTGCAGCCGGTGCTCCAGCCACTCGGCAATCATGGATCGCACGGCTATGTTGTCAGTGAGCGCCTTGCTGTCGAGGCGGCGGCCTGTCTTGGGCGAGGTGTGGTGCACGCTCAGCCACTGCTCTATGGCCTCCCTCTCGTACGTGTGCCCATCTGCTGCTAGTACAGGGTTCTCCATGATGCCCTGAATGGGAGAGAGAAGGGAGGAGGGGAGGGAGAAGGGAGGAGGGGAGGGAGAAGGGAGGAGGGGAGGGAGAAGGGAGAAGAGGGGCCGATGGGAAGGAGGGTGATTCAGGCACACGCCCTTGCGAAGGGAAGGGGTTGAGGGGGGGATTGGGGGGAAGACATGGGCCGGCCAGTCTTGGGCAAGGTGTGGTGCACGCTCAGCCACTGCTCTATGGCCTCCGTCTCGTACGTGTGCCCGTCCGCTGCCAGCACTGGATTCTCCATGATGCCCTGATGGGACAGAAGAGAAGAGGAGGGATGGAAAGAGGCGTGGCGTGCGGTGAGACAGGCACACGTCTCTGGCGGCGTGGTGTGCGGTGTTGGGGGTTGAGAATGGGTATGCTGTCTTGGGCGAGGTGTGGTGCACGCTCAACCACTGCTCTATGGCCTCCCTCTTGTACGTGTGTCCATCAATCCGCTGCCAGCACTGGATTCTCCATGATGCCCTGATGGGGGAACCAGGGGGCGTGGGTGGAGAAGATGGGGACAGGAGAGAAAGAGGGGCCGATGGGAAGGAGGGCGAGACAGGCACACGAGGTGGGGGGTTGGGGGGGGAGAAGACATGGATGGGTGTGCTGTGCTGCCTTGGGCGAGGTGTGGTGTACGCGCAGCCACTGCTCTATGGCCTTTCTCTCATACGTGTGCCCGTCCGCTGCCAGCACAGGGTTTTCCTTGATGCTCTGATGGGACGAGAAAAAGGGGGGTGGGGGAGGGGGAGAGGATGGAGGACGGAAAGAGAGCGGAGGGTTTATGCTTGTATGTGTGGCCGTCCGCGGCCAGCACTGGGTTCTCCATTATGCCCTGCAGGGAGCGGAGTGAAGAGAGGAGGGGGGGGGGGGAGGAGGAGGAAAAGAGAGGGGGAAGTTGCACGTACCATGGTGATGCGGCAGATAACATTGCATTGAGGTGAGGCAAGCATCTGATCTTACCCTGGTGATGGTGCATGCATCATACCCTGGTGATGGTGCATGCATCATACCCTGGTGATGGTGCATGCATCATACCCTGGTGATCGGGAACCAATGCAGGTGCAAGCACATACCATGGTGATGGGGCATCGGAACTCGTTGGGAACGAAATCGCGGTAGTCATCCATGCGGTCCGCCCTCTCCAGCGCCACTGCAGCATCTACATAGGGGCGCAGCTCCTCCACCACCACCATCACCTGGAGGAGTTGAAAGGAGTGGAGAGGTACGGGGAGGAATGGGATGAGGTCAGGTCCGCCCTCTCCAGCGACACTGCTGCGTCCACGTACGGTCGTAGCTCATCCACCACCATCATCACCTGGGGGAGGGGGAAGGAGTGGATGAGTACATAGGGATTAAGAAATGAGGTCAGCACATGCCTGCCAGCACTGCCGCATCCACGTAGGGGCGCAGCTCGACCATCACCACCATCACTTGGAGGAAGGAGTGGGGGAGTGGAGAGATATTGTTGGGATAAAGTAATGAGATCAGCATGTGTCTGCTCGCACTGCCGCGTCGGCGCAGCTCCTCGATCACCACCATCACTTGGAGAAGGGGGACGTGGTGGGAAGTGGAGATGAATGGCAAGAGATCAGGTCAGCACGTGTCTATCAGCACTGCCGCATCCACGTAGGGGCGCTGCTCGCCCACCACCACCATCACCTGGGGGCAGAGAGAGGAATGTGGGGGAGTGGAGAGAGATGGGATGGATGATGAGATGAAGGGATGAGGTTAAGTCAGCCCATCCAACCCTCACACCACAACCACCACCACAAAAACACCACCACCCCCACCCACCCCCACCCCCACCACCATCACCTCAAGGTGACTTTTGAATCAACCCAAAAGTCACCACCACCATAGCCCGCACCCCCACCCGGGCCACCCCCATCACCCCACCTGCTTGCTCAGGTCCGGCCGAGCCTTCCTCTTGTAATGCGCCATCTGCCGCACCAGCTGCACCAACCGCAGCGCGACACGTGGCGGCCAGCACCCAGCCGACAGATCCAACAACTCCCCCAACGCCTCCATATCCCCGCCCTCCTCACACTCCTCCAACGCCTCCAACTCTCTGTCCCTCTTCCCCCGTTCCCCCGACGTCTCATTGATGCCGATCAGCATGTCGAGCATGACCATGCCGAGGGAATACACGTCTGACTCGCGAGAGAACTGGCCGGTGCGGAGGAAGTGCGGGTCCACGTAGCCGAACGTGCCGACCGCCATGGACTGCTGCATGAAGGAGCGGCCGTTGTCCATCCCCACTAGAAAACGAGCGAGGCCCACGTCGCCTAGCTTGGCCACGAAATTGTTGTCCAGGAGCACGTTAGCGGGTTTGAGATCCAGATGCACTATGGCAGGGACGCTGGAGAGAGGGGGGCGGGAGAGGGAGGTGGGGGGATCGGAGAGAAGGGGGATATGGGGACAGGAGGAGGGGAGGAGGGATGGCATGGGGAGAACGAGGGGGGCATGAGGGCCTTAGCAATCAAAGGTGCCGACAGCCATGGACTGCTGCATGAAGGAGCGGCCGTTGTCCATGCCCACGAGGCACTGAATACAGCCAAAAGAAAAGAAAAGAAAAGAAAAGCATGGAAAAGAAAAGAAAAGAAAGGAAAAGTTAACAAACACTCAGCAGCCAGCATCACCTAACAATGACCCAAGCAGCATCTATCCCAAGTGGAACGGCTTTCAGGAGTCACCAGTTGTATAGGTGGAAGAGCGCCTTGCACAGATTCTCAAAGATCCCAAACCACACGTTCCAGGGCAGGGGCGGGGAGAGGGGAGAGCAGCAGCCCCTACCCTAGCACAGCACAGCACAGCAGCAAGAACACCTACCAGCAAGAACACTAAACAGCAAAGATGCCCTACCAAGGCAGCATATAAAGGCGCTGGAAACTCACCGGTTGTGCAGGTGAATGAGCACCTTGCACATGTTCTCAAAGATCTCAAAGCGCACGTTCCAGGGCAGGGGCGGTGCGAGGGGGGAGCAGCCCCTAGCACAGCAGTAGCAAGAAGCACTAGGCAGCAAGGTCCCCTAACGAAGCACATAAAGGAGCTGAAAACTCAAACTCACCGGTTGTGCAGGTGAATGAGCGCCTTGCACATGTTCTCAAAGATCTCAAAGCGCACGTTCCAGGGCAGGGGCGGGGAGCCGCGGTCGCACAGTAGCCTGTCATAGAGCGAGCCCTGAGGCATGTACTCGTACACGAGGCACGGCGGGTTGTGGCAGCACCCGATCAGCAGCACTATGGTGGGGTGCCTCAGCCCCCTCTGCACCTCCACCTGGGGGGGATGAGGATGGGGAGGTAGGGGGTGGGGGATGGGGTGGAGGGGTTGAACTTGAGCCAGCAAGCACGTGCCAGTCAGTCGGTAACCGCGTGGGTCACAGAGGAGGCGGCCGTAGAGCGAGCCCTGCGGCATGTACTTGAAGACAAGGCACGGCGGGTTGTGGCAGCACCCGATCAACAGCACTACGGTGGGGTGCCTCAGCCCCCTCTGCACCTCCACCTGTTGGGGATGGAGGGAGATGGGGGTGGGGGATGGGGGGATGGGAGGTGGGGAAGAGAAGCAGTTCTAGAGAGAGCCAGAAAGCAGCATAGGTCAGTCAGTCGGTAAGCACGCAGTTGGTCCTGCAAGGGGGTCTCAAAGTGGTGCGGTGGCAGACGGAGCCGCGGGCACAGAGTGCTCACCTTGTAGACTCAGTGTGCCCACCTCGTTTTCCGCTCACCTCTTTCTTGAACTCTTTGAGAGCCTGGTTGGTCTGGGCATTCTTGAGCACCTTCACGGCCACAGGGAAGTGTTTCAGCATGCCCCTATAAACTGACCCGTACCCGTCCTCCCAACTCGCCTAGAGAACTCAACACTAGCAACGGATACACACACACTCTTTGCCGCTGGCCGCTCACCTCTTCCTTAAACTCTTTGAGAGCCTGGTTAGTCTGAGCGTTCTTGAGAACCTTCACAGCCACAGGGAAGTGTTCCAGCATGCCCTTATACACCGACCGACCCACACCCGCCCTCCCCACTCACCTAGACAACTCAACACTGGCACAGATAGGTCCTCACGTTGCACTGCTGACCGCGCTCACCTCTTTCTTAAACTCTTTGAGAGCCTGGTTCGTCTGGGCGTTCTTGAGCACCTTCACAGCCACAGGGAAGTGTTCCAGCATGCCCTTATACACCGACCCGTACCCGCCCTCCCCCACCAGGTTCTCCTCACAAAATCCGTTACAAGCTGCCTCCAGTTCCTCTATAGTGTACTGCCGGAACTCCTGCTGCTTCTTCACTCGTTCTAACGCATATTCCTCCTGCGCTTTCACCAGAGTTGCCGCAGCTGATGCTGCTGCCTCTGCCGCAGCCTTTTTCGCCTCGGCCGCTTCTTCTTTCGCCGCCGCTGCCCGTTTCGCCTCCTCCTCCGCCTGACGCTTAGCTAATTCCTTTTCCAGTTCGGCTTCTAAGCGCCGCTGGGATTCGGCTCGGGCGTTCTCGAGGGCCATCCGAGCCTCCTCCCGAGCCTCCCGAGCCTGCTGATCGGCTCGTTCGGCAGCGAGCTGGGCCGCCCGAGCCTGTTCTTGCAGCCGAGCCAGTTCGGCTAGGAGCTCTGTGAAATCAAATGGAGCTCCGCCGAAGCCGGACCCAGGAGGCATGCCGGGAAATCCCATGCCTGGCATACCATACCCACCACTAGCTGCTGCTGCTGCTGCTGCTGCAGAGGAAGCAGCAGCAGATGAGGAGGCAGCAGAAGTCGAGGAAGCAGAGGTAGAAGAGTCAAGCATAGGGAAACCCCCACCCATTCCACCCATTCCCCCCATTCCCCCCATTCCACCCATCCCACCCATCATACCCGTTTGACCCATGGGCATCCCCCGTCCTCCCATCATCCCACCACCCATGCCCATGCCCATGTATGGGTTCATGTAAGGCCAGCCAAATGGATTCATACCCATTCCCATCCCCATGCCCATGCCCATTTGTGCTTGCGAGTGCGCTGCCGCCGCTGCAGCTGCTGGGTCGCTGGGAGGAGGAGGCGGTGAAAGGGAAGCACCAGTTGCAGTCTCAGAACCGGTGCTACTGGTTGCTCTACCAGCGGCCGCTCCTGCTGTTATTCCCCCTACGTCTGCTGCTGTCCCTGCTGCCCCTGCTGCTCCCGCTACTCCTGCCGCCCCTGCTGTCCATGCTCCTCCTGCTACTCCAGCATCACTCCCTGCTCCTGCCACCACAGGTACTACTGGTGGTGGGTCCGTATGCGCTGCTGATTGCCTGCTGCTGCTGCTACTGCAGCTGCTGCTGCTGAAGTTGGCAGTGCACGCGGGACCAGGGACCGAGGAGCCAACCTTAGCAACAGCAGCAGCAGCAGAGGGGGACGGGGCTGCGACTGGCGCTGGGGCGGCTGCTGAAGGGGGAGCAGAGGGGGTATCACTGGTTGTAACCCCGAGGGTGGAAACAGCCATTGAAGCATCTGCTACATTGCCAGGCATTGTGCTCGCCCGTCTCACTTGCTGTGGCAGCGGTGCTTGCTGTGCTTGCTGTGTCTGCTCCATTTGCTCTGTCTGCTGCTGCGTCTTCTGCTCCGCTCGGCTCTGCAGCAGCTGCTGTTGCTGCTGCTGCTGCTGCAGGTGAAACGCGAGCTGGGCCTGCTGGTGCATACGAAACATCTCCATCTGATCCATCTGCTGCTGCCGCATCACCGCATGAACGTCCTGCTGCAGCCCCGCCTGCTGCCCGGCATGCTGTCCCGCATGCTGCCCCGCCTGCTGCTGCTCTCCCTGCTGCCGCTGCGGCTGCATCGCTGCCACTGCCGCCCCAATGTCAGCCTCGCCACCAGACGAAACCCTACCAGACCTCAGATTTAACTCAGCCATCTGCTGCCTCTGTTGTTGCTGCTGCTGCTGTTGTTGTGCGGCCACTACCGCCCTAGCGTCTGCTGCGTCAAGAGCAGGGGAAACCCTCCCAGGGATTGGCATAGGGGCGCCCATGCGGGTGGAGGCGTGGTGGCGGGAAGCAGTGAGCGCACCATACGCCCTGGGGTTGCCGCGGCTGCCGGCGCTGCCGCCGCTGCTGGTGCGCGTCACAGGGGCACAATCCGGGATGTGGAATGCCTTCGCTGCTGCTGCCGTCACTGCTGCTGCTGCCGCCGTTGCTGCTCCTCCTGTTGCTGCTCCTCCTGTTGCTGCTCCTCCCACTGTTCCTACACCTGCGAGGCTACCGGTGTGAGTGCTGGCATGCGGGATGGTGTGGCTGTTCGCGTGGTTGTTATTATTACTGCTGCTGCCACTGCTGCTGTCGTGAGCAGGCGCGCCCAAGGGGGAAAGCTGACGGAGAGGCCCGGGAGCAGAGTCTACCCGCGGTAAATGGCAGTCAGCAGTGCTGCCTGTGCTGCTGCCGCCCACACTGCCATCTCTTGCCATCCCTGCAGCCGCAACCGCAGCCACAGCAGCAGCAGTGGTGGAAGCACTAGGGGCAACAGCACCAGTGGTGATCCCAGTGCGTGTGTCAGTGGGGAATGCCCTTTCTGGAGACACCATTCCTGCCTGCCTCCCTCCTGCCTGCTGTTGCTGCTGCTGGTTGTGTTGCTGCTGCTGGTTGTGTTGCTGCTGCTGGTTGTGCTGCTGCTGCTGGTTGTGCTGCTGCTGCTGGTTGTGTTGCTGCTGCTGGTTGTGTTGCTGCTGCTGGTTGTGTTGCTGATGCTGCTGCAGCTGCGTGTGCTGCGCCCGTAGCATCTGCCGGTACACATTCCACTGCGGCCCCTCCCCATGGCCACCCAGTCCTCCCGAACCTGACCCCGAGTCTGTTCCCGAGCCGGGAAGCAGTCCCTGGTTCGGGAAACCGCCTGCCGCAGCAGCATTAGTACCCACAGTGGTGGAAGTTGTGGAGAATCCAGGAAGAGAGGAAGTGCCTGTGCTATGGCTATCAGTGGGGCTGGAGGAAAGATGGGTGAGAGCAGGGGCACCAAGAGAGGAAGCAGCTGGGAATCCGCCCATGCCACCCATGCCACCCATGCCACCACCAAATCCGCCCATGCTACCCATGCCGCCCATGCCAGCCATGCCGGCCATGCTGCCCATGCCGTTCATGCTGCCCATGCCGCCGCCCATGCCGCCGCCCATGCCATCCATGCCACTCAAACCACTCATGACACCCATGGCATTCATGCCACCAACGCCAGCCATCCCATCCATACCACCCATACCACCCATGCCACCCATGCCACCCATGCCACCCATGCCACCCATGCCAGCCATACCACCCATGGGACCCATTGGACCCATTGGACCCATGCCACCCATGCCACCCATCCCTCCTAACCCATTCACACCGCCTCCCATTCCCCAGGGAGAAACAACACCAGCAGGGGAGACAGCAGCAGCAGCAACACCAGAGTCACAGATACTGGTATAGGCAGAGCGGGAGGGCGGGGAGAGAGGAGGGCTCTGCGTGGGGGAGCTGAGAGCGCTAGACACCTGCGACGAGCCCCCTGCCCCGCCTGCCCCCCCTCCCCTACCAGCATCCGCAGCAGCAGCATGACCAGCGTCAGCGTAAACAGCAGCAGCAGTGCCATCCGACCCGTTACCACTGCCAGCCCGTGGCAAAAACTGAGCCTGCTGAAGCTGCTGCTGCTGCTGCTGCTGCTGCTGAGCCTGCTGAAGCTGCTGCTGAAGCTGCTGCTGCTGCTGAGCCTGCTGCTGCTGCCCTGGGAGGGCTTGCAGGGGCAGCTGAGCCCGCTGCATGTGCTGGGGAGGATAGTGGGGAGCGTTGGCTTGGCTGTGTGGGGAGGGGTGTGACGGGTCCGCATGCTGCTGGGCTTGCAGCGGCGGCTGAGCCCAATGCGCCTGCTGCTGGGGAGGATACTGGGACGTGGGAGCTTTGCTGTGTGGGGAGGGGTGTACGAGCTCGGCGCGCTGCTGGGCTTGCTGCTGGGGAAGAGGAAGGTTGTTGTGGCGAGCGGAGCGGGCGGGCAGGTTGGGAGGGGGGCCAGCTGCGCCTGGCGCTTCTCTGATCTTGCGCCCCCCCTGCACGACAATGAGCGTGCAGGTGTCTGGTAGGTGGCCGCTGCAGTAGTCAGGCACGTGGGACGACTTGCCAAAGAGCTTCCTGGGAGAAGGGAGAAAGATTGAGGGAGAAGGTGTGTGTGCGAGAGGGCGAAAGAGAGGGAATGAATGGCACTTGCTCGGATTTGATCATGCATCAAACGTGGGACGCCTTGCCTAACAAATTCAAGGGCTTTATGAAGGGAGGAGAAAGGAAAAAAAGGAGTGATGGGATGGGGCAGGGAGACTGCAGATTTGGCTGGAAAATCATGGAGGGAGGGAGAGGATCAGCATGCATGCACGTGCCGTACTGGCACTGCAATGTGCCTTCACCCCAGAACCGATTGGAACCGCTTCAAACCACTTAAACCACTCAGAACTGTTTTGCACAGCTGTCATCCGATTAGTAGAGTATAATGAGCTGGGCACGCCCTTCTTGGCGCCAATGTAAAAGCGGGTCGCCTGGAAAGAGGTTGCCACGTGCACCAGCCTGCCCCTCAAGGTGTGCTCTGAGTCGACTCAAAACACACCTGAACCACTCATAACCGTTTTCACACAGCTGGGCACCGTACGCACTTCTTGGAGCCGATGTAGAGGCGGGTGGCCTGGAAGGAGGTTGCCACGTGCACCAGCCCATCCTCCCGCCTGTCGTTCTTCTCCACGTGCATGGCTGCTGGGATCTGCCATGGGTGATGCGTGGTGTAGGGAAGTCACGTCATGAAATGATAGTTACTATTTAACCAATTGGAATGTGATACAACAGGGATGCATGTATATAATGCTGTAGAAAGTGCCGCGACAACATGCCATGTCATATCATGTATCTCATTTCTCAGCGCGTTTCCTGACACATGACGGCATGTCATGTCACGTTCGAGAATTTTTTGGGAGTAGCTGTTTTCTCTGAGGCATCTGCGGAATTTGCCAGAGAGACTCGATTACGAAAAATTCGGACGCTGACATGCATGCCCTCGGAGAAGGTTTTGAAGGGCACAAGAACGTTCTGGAAGATGCTGGTTTCCATTTGCTACATCTGCGAAATCGTTAGGAGTAATTCGGGATTGAAAGAGCTGGGAAGCTCACATGCTTGCGTTCGGAGAAGGTCTTGAAGGGCACGAGGATGTTTTGGAAGATGTTGTTCTCCATCTGCTGCAACGACCGCGCGTCCGCCTGCGAAATCGGGAGCTCGCCACCCGCTGCGAGGAGTAGCGCGGAGAGGAAGGCGTGAGGAGCATTATAAAGGCGGGGGAAGGGAGGGGGAAACGTTGGAGACATCTAAAAAGCCGCGCGTCCGCCTGCGAAATCGGGAGCTCGCCACCCGCTGCGAGGAGTTGCGTGAGAGAGGGGTGAGGGAGGTTGTGGGAGGGGAAAGGGAAATTGGAAGCGAATGAGAAGAAAAGGTGGTGGATTGAGGAAAATTGTTGAATTTAATGGAACAGCGGAAGGTTATGGTGAGGCTGAACGCCTGTCTGATACTAACGCGTATGCTTTGGTAGCAGATGCCATGAGCAAATACGTCAGCAGTGGACATGTAAGCGAGAGCAACCTAAGCAAATGAGTGACTCAATCAAAACGGCGGTCACGACGGCAAGCTTCTGGCGACGCTTTTATAGAAACTGGTAATGAAAAGCGGAATTAAGACGGAGCGACGAAATTCAGGCCATCGTCGCTTAACTGGACGACGGGACGGCGGTTAAGACGGAGACGAGGCTGAAGGCGACGTGGAAGGCGCATTGATGCACGTCCTCGATGGCTGTGTGTAGCACGTCCTTGCTGACCTCCTTTTGACCTCCTTTCGACTCTAAAATTTTCAACTTACTGGACGATGGGACAGCAGTCAAGACAGATACGAGGTTGAAGGCGACGCGGAAGGCGCATTGATGCGCGTCCTCGATGGCTGTGAGTAGCACGTCCTTGCTGACCTCCTTGTCTCGTACCACCTCCACCACCCACACCGCCACGTGGCCGCGGCTCGTCCCCATCGCTAGACTGTGCATTTTCGCGTCACTGATTGCGTCACGCCGTCACGAAGCCTTAAACTTGTTAACTCACCGCGTCGCTGACTACGTTTCTGAGTCAGGAGAATAAATCAACAATCACTATTGACCCACCGGGTCTCAGAGGTGCTAACTCGCTGCTTGTTCTAGCATTGTTGAAACAGAATGCGATCGTCGTTCCTTGATTAGCAAAGCATGTCTGGACCCAACCCTCCAGTGTTCAGCACACACTGACTACCTCCAGTATGGTAAGATATCAATAGGGACGACTCGAAGGCGAGCTACACGCCCTTTGCAGCAGAAAAGACACAATCTACTTCCAAGGCAGGACAAGAGCAGGAGCAGACATCAAGTCACTTCTTCCATGGTCTTGATTTGCGAGCAGTACTGGTGTTATGGAGTCACGACAACTTCATGGCGTTCTGGTTCTGGGAATGTGGCCAAATCATGGGTCTAGGGGGAATCGAGCAGAGCAGCAGAAAGGTTGGCGGCAATCTCGAGGGGCAAGGGCTCTCAGGCATGCCCTGCCCGACCGAACCTGAAGGTTGCGGAGGGGGGAAAGGATCATGTGGTTCGAGTGTGTTGATGTGCAAACTGGAGAATATCGTTCCGAACCTAGTCAAGGGGCACGGATCAGGTGGACATGAAGGCAATCGTGGTAGTTGGGGGTGTAGCGAAGCAAACACTGTTCCTCCCTTGCCCTCGGTATGTAATGTCTACGGCCCTGTTCGGCAGCACTTCAGGAGCACTAAAAACAGGTCATCTTGGCCGTTGGGAGCCTGAAAAGTGTTCATGTTGGCCGTTGAGAGTGGTTCGGCACCACCAAAATCGCCTGCGACCCTCGTGCGACAAGACTTCATTCCGAGCTACCCACCCCACACAACTCCGAACCTCTCGCCCAACCCCAAGCCTGACGTGGGCCCAGAAGTCAGCCAACGACCAATCACAAGAAGGGAAGGCCAGAAGATGGGTACTCATCTTTTCAACGTGAGTACCCATCTTCCGCCTAATTGAGACTTCCATTTCGGGCAGCGTGGGGGGTAAGTCCTGCGTCCCCCAAGTGCCCTCCTGCCCAGATTGGGGGTATTTTTAAACATGTGCATCGCCAGCAAAAGGCCCCGCGAACACACGAACAGCAGCCCAGTGCAACGTCCTCGACATACCTAGCAGGAGCAACTTTTTTTTTCAGATTTTCCGTCCGCGGGAGGCCTGACCGAGGGGTGACCCAGGGCCATAAACCTGAGTGAGTTGGATGTGTGGAGGATTTTTGGGTCGTTCATGTTGGCCGTTGAGGTCCGGTGGCCTGGTCTAATTTCTCTGTCTTTTGCGCGGACACTGTAGATACACCTTAGATTTTGCTGACGTGTTGCCACGGTGTCAGGACGACAAGCTGCCTTTGGTTTCCGAACTTCCCAACGTTCGGAACCAGACCTCCCGCACAACACCGAACCTAGATGGGGAAAAACGTGCAATTTTGCAGCCGAACAGGGCCTACATGACAGCCAATAACATTCTGGCGGAGGGATGGGGAAATGTACAAGATGAGCTGATGAACTGCAGGAACAATATCGGGGTTTCAACGCATATCATCATAAGATCTGTACACGTTTTTGTGTGCTTCACTGAGATTTGCTATGCTTCAGTGTGAGTGAACCACTTCCACTGGAACACACTACTTCAAAACCTCCCGTTTTGGTGGACAGCGCACGGGCAGGATGAGGCTGGTACCATGTTCTGCGAAACCCATGCTGAGGGGGTCCGAAGTGAAACATCGACATCCGCTGACATCCGTTTGGGGATGTCGATACATATCAACCCTCGGATCGGAGATTTCGACCGTCAGGATTCGCCGACATCCACCGACATCTGCCGACATCCATCGACGTTTCACTTCGGACATCCCCTGAGGAACAAGACTGCTCTGCACGAAGCTGACGACGGAAAATACGAAGCCGGACGAATCCCAGTATCTCCCGTACGTCTGGGGCATCTCTGTGGTTCCAAGCGAGTTCTGTATAGACAGCACATTGTAACGTTTTTTTCGTGAAGTCCGGTTTGGACCCTGGTCAGAAGCCTTCGCGAGGGGAACGAAAATGCTTCCGACAAAACGAACGGATGACTGGAATTTGGAACTTCCATCCCCTCGCGCAAGTCAACAACAGCTCCAGTCAGGTCAGATCCCTCCTGTCCCGCCCATCGTCTCATCTCATTTCGTTTCTTGTGGTAACACCGAGTCAAACGCAACCATCATTTCCACGGCAAGATCTGCTGGTTGTTGTGAGGCTGTGTGGTAGGCACAAAACAGCCAGGATTCCACGGTTGAGCAGCAAGCATGGTAGCTCGTGTAACTGGTGGGTCGCGGTCAAGCCTCCTGCCACCATACACCCAGGAGTAGAAATCCAAGTATTTACTTATTCGTTTCCAGTAGGAGTCGCGGTGTCGTGGCAGAAGTGCAAGTTGGCGATCCGACATAGCATGCGGCTTACTAGGTGGAGCAGCGCACTCGGCGGAAGCCTGTGGCCTGCTGAGCGTGGATGGGGTAGTGGAAGGCTTGGCTTGTAATCAACGGCGATAAGTAGATCGCTCTACTGCTTACTCGTAAGATTGCGGCCTGTGCATTGGCGTACTGTGCACGCGGGCCACAGCACTGGTTACAGGTCGAGTTACATCTCGGGTCTCCGGTTACAACTTGGGTTACAGCGCGGGTTACAATTTGGGTTACCAGCCATGGCGATACTCCCGTCCTGCCTTCTCTCCTCAGCCGCTCTTCCCACTCGCCTGCTGCCCAGCGTAATCGAAATCCAAGAATCATGTTTCGCGCTCGTCTATAACGCGTATGGCCTGCGCCTTGACCAATTCCACGTCGACAATCTCACGCTCGTCTCCTGCTGGGTCCCCGCGTCTCGCGGCGTGGAACCCGCCGCATCACCCGCCGTGCCTTCCGCCGCAATTCCCGCGAAACCCCCTCTGTTACTCCTCCACGGCTTCGGCGCGTCGTCGTTAAACCACTGGATAAATCAGCTCGCCGCGTTTTCCCGCCATTTCGACCTCTACATCCCCGACCTGCTGTTCTTCCGCGGCTCGTACTCCCGCGATTCGCGGCGCGACGAGCGGTTCCAGGCGGAAGCGATGATCGCGCTGATGGACCGGCTGGGCATCCAACGGTGCGCCGTCGTCGGCGTGAGCTACGGCGGGATCGTCGCCCACAAGTAAGTAAGCCAAAGTCCTCTCCTCCTCGTCAAATGCCGTAATCCATCCATAAGCTGTGCATTACGGCAGGATCGGCCAGACAACAAACGCCCCAGCCAGCAACCATCCCACCTCTCCTCCTCTCCCTCCTTCCCTCCCCTGCAGAATGGCTACCCTCTATCCCGCACGTGTCACTCAGCTAGTGCTGGGAGGGCCGGGGCTCATGCTGACGCAGGGGGAGGTGCAGGGGGTGCTGCAACAGTAGCACGCACGTACACACGCAGGCAGGAAGGCAGGCAGGCAGACAGACAGGCGCACACACTGGCCGCCTGATTGCTCACATCCCACTTTCTCACTCCTCTCCTCTCTCCCCTTCTCTGTCCCCTCTTCCCCGGGTTTCTCCCCTCCCGTTATCCCCCTCTGCAGGATGGCCACTCTCTATCCCACACGTGTCTCCCAGCTAGTGCTGGGAGGGCCGGGGCTCATTCTGACGCAGGGGGAGGTGCAGGGGGTGCTGCAGCACTGGCACGCCAAGACTCCACCGGACCTCTTCCTGCCCACCGAGCCTAGCGGCCTGCTTCGGCTGATCAGGCTCGGGAACAACGAGGCGCCGTACCTCCCGGATTGGCTGCTGCAGGACGCCTTGGAGGTGTGTGTGTGTGCCACTCCCGGTCATTCCTCTCCCTCCCGGATCCGGACTCCGCTGGAGTGAAGGGCTTTGAGATTCTGATGTCCGGCTGTCCGGCTGTCTGGCCGGCTGTCCAGCTGGCCGGCTGTCCATCTCTCTGGAGAATCTGTTGCATGTGCACGGGTTCAGATTCTTGAGGCGCCTCAAAAGTCATGTGCACGGGTTCAGATTCGATTCTCAACTGTGACTCCGGAATAGCTGATTCAAGCTCAAGCTTCCTCAACTTGTGAGAACCGCCAATGCTGTGCGAGCATGGTGCTGCTGTGTGGTGATGTGCGTTGCTGTGTGGTGCTGTGCGTTGTTGTGTGGTGCATGCATGGCAGGTGCTGTTTGAGAACAGGGAGGAGAAGGCAGGGCTGCTGGAGGCGTCGTTGAGAGAAGCACAGGCCAATGCACAGCACCCAGAGGGCATCGCTGTGCCTTCAATGGTAGGTGCTGAGTGGTGAAATGCGGTGAAGTGCACAGGGGTCGACAATTTCATTGTGCATGTGAGGAGTGGCATCGAGACTGGAGGTAATTCCTTGATGCCTTTCTCTCACCACACCTCAATTCTCTCGCATGCCAGCGATGTCGCTTACTCCTTGTTTTTTCCCTTTCACCCTGCATTTCTCCTCTCCCCACGTTTCTCGGTTTTTTTTTTTTTTTTTTCACTGTTTTGTGATGTAACTCTGTCTCCCATCCACTCTCTCTCATACCCCGCCCGATCCACGTAACAGCCCACCCTTCTTGTGTGGGGAGGTAGTGACCAGCTCTTTCCCCTTTCCATTGCCCATCGCATGCACCGGTGAGACTCCCTCTCTCGCTCCCTCCTTCTCGGTTCTGCTTTCTCCTTCCCTCCCCGCGCACTTGCACACTACACACACGCACACGCAGCAGTTCAACTCAAAAACTTGGCCTGGTTTTGAGTCGACTCAAAAGCACACTTGGCCTGGTTAAGTTTCTGCCCCCACTCCACCATCCCCCCTCCCCACCTTCCACCCTTTTCCACCATGCCCCCTCCCCACCTTCCCCCTTCTCCACCTTTCCCCCTCTCCACCTCCACCCTTCTCCACATTTATCACCTGTTATTGTTCACATAAACCTCTCCCTTTCTCCATCTTCCCTTCTCCCGTCCCCTCTTCTT